GCCGCGTGGCTCTACCACTGTTAAAAACAGTAACGCTTCCAAGATAAGTTTTGTAAATACTTTATACAAATTTTCTTGTTGTACAGGTAAATGACTTTGTGAAAAAAGTCCCCCTGGGTTTCTTGTTGGTTCTTCCTGTGATAGAGGTTTTTTTCGAACTAGTAGTAGTAAAAAATAACTTTCAATAAGAATTACATGTAATCTATATTAAATAAAATATTATTCTATTCTACCGGGGAAGGACCACGCTCTCACAGAATATCAGAATAAAATTGCACGAAAAAAACGAATGACGTGATAACCGTAGGTACTTACGTGTATAGTTTTCCCCTTATTTCCGGATTTTGCATTTGGGGCTTTAGGGATATGGTACATTAATATTATTTTAAGAACGGAGCTACGGTTCAATCGGTGACCCGTCTTCCTTGTGATTAATTTTAATTCTGTACATTGGCATGTAGTCAGAGGCGATAGCAGGAAATGGAACGAGATGAGCAGCAGAATAAAATTGAAAAAAAAAACTGCGGTTACCCGGTACCCATCCGCTAAGGGCATGTCTATGAGGGAAGCATAATTAAAATTACGAATGAAATGTTACGAATGAAATTACGAATGAAATGTTAGGTAGGGCTTCCAAGCCTATAAAAATTCGGAAATAATCCGGAAGTAGCTAATTCTACAGCACTCCCTGGCTCTGCGTGACTTCAATACCTCCTCAGGTATTTGACTTTTTTTCTGTATTTTTGAATATTTTTAATTTAGTTAAATTTAGAACGAAGTTCCTTATTGGATGGTACGAATTTGGCGGATGGGGGTTAAGCAAGAAAAAGTGTAAGATTTTTCCGTCACGACCCGAAGCGAGATGGAATAGTATCCATCTCCCTCGCACTTTTTCTTATCTTCCCGTGAAGGAAAAATTTTTTCATTTTAAATGACGCTTCATTTTAATAGACGCTAGTAATTCATTTATTTGTATTTGTTAATCAATAATACAAAACATTTATCATTAACAATATACTACGAAGGGAACTTCGTTCCAACCGAGTGTCACCGAGTGTTCCACGACACTCACACATGTTTTACTTTTTTTTTTAAATACCGTCACTCGTGTGTTCCCTTACCTACGAGCCTGTATGGGTAATGTGCAAAGGTTGCGAAGTAGTAACAAAATAAGCAATGGGTTTCAATGGGCAATTGCGTCGCAGACCGTTTTATCACAACTAATTATTATGCTGTTTCTGTTTAAGTCATGCTTAAATATTTTTAAGCATTGAAATGTGGAAAATTGACAGTAGTCTTATATAATTAATAGAATCAGGCGTTACTTTGCGGAAATCCATTACATATATAAAAGCTTTTAGAAAAATTTTTTTACTTCGCAAATATCTGCGTTATAAAATAAAATGATGTGTCTTACCTAGTATGAAGAGCACCTCCCGCCCTCCCTCAAATGCGTGCACTATCCCCGTCACCGCTACTTCCAACGCCATTACACTAGGCAAGACACACCACTGACGATAATACGACACGTGTTTCTCCTCTAAACGAGGCATCCTTAGGTGATATAGACTCTACGTTGGCTAACCGCTAAGTGAGCGGTGAGCCGAAACAAGTGCCTTAAGGCACCTTTTGCCTTAAGGCACTTGTTTTAGTGGTGTTGGGAGTAGCAGTGCTGGGATTAGTGGTGACGGGGATAGTGCACGCATTTGAGGGAGGGCGGGAGGTGCTCTTCATACTAGGTAAGACACATCATTTTATTTTATAACGCGGATATTTGCGAAGTAAAAAATTTTTCTAAAAGCTTTTATAGAAGTCTTATACATTACTATACATACAGTTACCATCAGGTGGACTGTGTGCTTTTTATGTCACTCTTATTTCTATAAAAAAAAAACTTTAGTCTTATTCAATTATATTCCAGAAGTTAAAATTCCGATTAGACTTAAGATGGACTTGAGTATCAAATTCAATCACAATAAAATTAGACTGGAACCCGTCTTAACACAGTTTGCATTTGCTTTATAATTGTGATTAGCTTTTAAAATATTTGCTACTCGGCGGACTTTGACCGAAACAAGGAATAGCAGCTTATCTGGTGGATTTGTCAATGAACTAGCAGCGAGCAACGATAGCAGGAGTCATGTAAAAATATCAAACTCATCGGCACAGTGGGATTGCCCTTGAGGCGGCGGACACGAGCAGAGATAGGGTGCCCACGCACCAGTCCATTCGCAGTGGTGTGAAACCTTTTTTATTTGGCTATTAAATTATAAAACATATTTTTTTATTTTTTTATTGTTATGTTATGATATGAAAAATGATATTTATATTGTAAGTTATTAAATTCATTCATTAACGTGTTAGAGCCATTCTGCAGCTATAGTATAGTTGTCGCGCCAATAGATCGGCTCGACCGGGGACCACCAGCCAGCGTAAAATAGCAGCTCAATGCTGCTGTTTCGTATGGTGAGTTTAGAAAATCGGTGAATCTTTTTCAGTAAAACGAGGCATTCCATCTCAGTCCTCAGGGGTGAACAACGCATCTGCATTATATATACATACACATAATATGAAACCTATAGGGTTATATAAAAAAATAGAGAATATTTAGAAATGGTAACTTTAACATTTATATTTGTTGTGTTGTGCAACAAGTTACAAAAATTTTAAGAGCCGTTAGAAAATCTTAAAATCTCCGATAAATGTTGGAAAAATTCATTTCGAATACATTTATCATCAGTCTTTTAATAGTCCACTGCTAGATGTTCCTAGATATTCCAACAAACTGTTGCACAGTTTGGCGATGTTCATTATTATTTTAAATGCGTGTATTTTATATGAATAAATAAATTAAAAAAAAAATTTCCTAATTTGGAAAGATTTACTGTATTTAATTCACAGTGTGTTGTTTTACAAATCAAATCTGGATCTCACCTGAGCGAAAGTGATTCTAGTTTGAATGGTAAAATCCCCTTAACTTAACAGTATTCACTTTTCTCTTGAACAACATATTGTATTATTCCAATAATTTTTCGTTATGCACAATTCAAAAAGTTAAGTGTTTCAAATTCAATAATAATAAAAAATTGTTTATTTTTTTAACATTATTTTGTGGCCAGAGTCGCCCAGGAAGCATGTAGTAATACTTGTGTTGGGTGACTCTGCTCTTCCATTGGACCGTGTATACAATATTTATTTTTAGTGTTTTTAAAAACTAAACTATATATTTACAATATTTCAAGGGCTAGAATACTAAATGAATGATAAATTGCAGATATTACATTGTGCCAAAAGTGTGATTCCCTATTAATCATTTTCATCTTCATCTAGGCCTACGATAAAAAATCTTGGGATCGGTTAATAACCACTAGATTTTATGTCAATGTGTATGTGTGTGAGTGAGGGTGTGTGTGTGTGTGTGTGTGTGTATGGGTGGGTGGGTGTGTGTGTGTATGTGTGGGTGTGTATGTGTATACGTGTGTAGGTGTGTGTGAGAGGGATTCAGTTTTCTTTATTTGCCATAAATAGGTTAAGTATTACGTTTTTAAAATAAAAATAAGTTGCTTAAAGACTTATTTAGCCATGAGATACGGCATGCAGATTTTAACGTAGTAGAGCCATGCTGCAGCTATATTAGTAATATAGTTGTAGCACGAATGGGTCGGCTCTACCGGGGAAGGACCACGCTCTCACAGAATACCAGCGTAAAATAACAGCTTAACACTGCTGTGTTTCGTATGGTGAGTGTAGAGAACCGGACACACTTTTTACTGCAAAAGAGACATTCCATCTTAGTCCTCACGGGTGACAACGCATCTGAATTTTGATTCACAAACGAGGATAGATGTAGATGTCTATGGGCCACAGCAACCACTTACCATCAGCTGGACTGTGTGCTTGTTTGTCACCCTATCCTATAAAAAAATGTAAACTTTTTAAAATTAACAATAATATAGGTGGTAGTAAATTGTTTGTTGATTGAGCAAGTGAATGAGTTTGTGTATTTGGGATGTGTATTTCGCAGGTAGCATGGCAGATATGATAAGGACATAGAACGACGAGTGAATGCAAGAAATAGAGTAAATGGGGCTCTACACTCTATTGTGGAAAGTCAGAATGTATAAAAAGGCAAATATGGCAATTCACAATGCTATGTTAGTCCCTACCTTAGTGTATGGTAGTAAAAGTTGGGTGTGGCAGAATAAGCTAGATAAATGCTGTAGAAATGCGGTCATTAATTATATTATTGATGAATCTGAATGACAGTGGAGAAATTGTGTGATAGATAAAAGTATGGCTTGCAATATGATGTCGTGACCAGGATTAGGAAAGGAATGCTTCGGTGGTTTGGTCGTGTCGAAATAATGAACGAAGAAAGAGTGACAAAGCAAATCTATGTTGCAGAAGCGAACGACAGAGTCGGTAAAGGACGCCCCAGACGAAAGTTTATCGACCAAATTGGCAATATATGGAAGGTGGGCCAGATTCTCTATCTGGTCCATCTTCAATACACCCTTACCTGACCAATTCAATATACCCTTACTCTTAACCGGCGAGCATGTATACGTAGGTATATGGATGAAAAGGAGGCGAGAGAGGTGTGTCAGTATCGTGCCAATGGCCTATAGGACTTATAGAGCCGTGCTTGAACTGATTTGGGATTTTGTTCCTTGTGTGTTTATTTTGTATTTATTATTTTTCTAATTTTGCTGTTTCTCAAGTGATATAAAAGATTTTTTATTTATTATTGTACTTTTAACTTGTTTCATTGTGAAACGTTACTTTGAAATTAAGTCCTGCTGAGTTTTTTCTAGGACAGAGGTTTTCCCAAACCTGTGGTAAAATAAAAATAATACTTCTATGCTCATATCAAAATAATTCTTCTTTGACAGTTTCTAAGTGTAAACAGTGTTAGTTTATTTTTCAAGTTAACTTACAATGTTTAGGACAACTGGCCATAGTGTATTGCAACACGGGGTTGGTAGCCCAGTCCACGCAAGATGGCGTCTCGCGTTACCGCGCCGTTGGCCTCGCTGCTGTTACTGCTTTTGGGTAAACAATTGCCTCTAATACTTTGCGTGGAGTATAGACTATAACAACGCCTGCTTATCATAATAAACATAGAGATTACTAACTACATATTCCTCATCGTTTGAATCAAACAAAGGAACGAAAGTTCGCAACGTAATCGTTTCCAATCTGATCATAATGCCTAATTTTGAGTGAGATTTTGATTCTACTAAATATTTACATATAGGAACTTGTGACAGTTTAATGTTAGCATTTTTTTTAAACTAGATATGCATTTTTTTAAGAATTTGGAATATGACAAGCAATTTATTTTGTTTACATTACATACTTCTATTTTTATAATATTTATATCTTAACATACATTTTGTTTTGCAACTTACTTTGAGGCCTTTGCTTATCGAATTTTGTTTTTATTTTGTAAGTTAATTTTAATTATAATTGAGGGAGTATCGCTTCAGTTGACTTGGGGCTGATTTTTCCATCGTCAGTTAGAAATTATAACCAGACTGTATTTGTTAACGGATATTAATTTATAATATCAAACAACACAACAAAATTCTGCAACACCTTTTCCTTATCACTGTTAGGTGACACACCACAAACAGGATTTTCGTTACTATCCAGATCAAGGGAGTTTTAAAAGCAGTGTTACGTAGTACTATTATTTATTCTGTGGCAGTGTAAGCTCTTTTGTCAATAGGCGTCGCTGCAATAACTGACGACTCCACTGCCAAAACTATTTCCCGCGTTTTTCTAACGTTCCCCAGAATATCGCGAGAAAAGTCTTGTCAGTTCCACCAGTCACTCTATCATTCAAGAAAAAAACATTTTGCACTCTCCATTACATACTGTGCTCGTGACGGAAACAAATATTAGTTTTTATTCCGTTGTCAACCTGGGGATATTATTGTTAAGAAACGAATCATTTTATCTAATTTTCGCGAAAATGATCCTTATAAAATCACCTGCTGAACTATCAAAATCCTTTCGAAATTTGCTATTTTTTTTTTTATTCAGAACTATAAATGTTCTTCAAATCTCTTGTTCTTAACTTCTGTCTTTATCGTTTAGAGTGGAGAGTGGAGTGATGGTTTTTGTTTGTTTGTGTTAGCTTTCAAAAAAATAAATTCAAAAGTTGGCAATTTTTTTGCAGTATGATGAAAAAACGCAATATTAGATAATACACAATAAGTAAATAAAAACAAATGAAATAAAAAAAACAATTCCTAGTTTATTTTTTTAATAGCATTAACGATAACAACATGAAAAATTAGAACTTGTTTTACATTCCTTTAAATTTGTCCATGAACGTATAAAGACAAAACTTAAGTTATTTCACTAAAAGAAGTAGTAGAAGACAAACTTTATTTTATTTCATCGTATCTTCTATATTCAGGTGCACAGAAAGCGGTTGCAGCATGCACGAACGTAACGGTGTTCTCCACTCAACTGGATACATTGCTGGCAGAGTACGACCGTGAAGCAATGCCCAGCTCGCGCGTGAAGGTGGAGCTCTCGCTGGACGTGAGACATGCTACCGTCAACGAGCAGACATCTTCCGTCCGGATGCTGGCTGATTTGAAGATGGTAATTAAATAAATGATCCTGAAGCCAAATAAAATTACCAAATTCAGCTTCACTGTGTCTGCATCATGTTATTTGGTAATCATTAGGGCTGTTCAACTTCCATACTAGCGACGACAGACTGGTTGTCGCAACTTATATAATTTTACAAAGAATGAAAAACAATAAAAGTAATTGACGGATAAGGAAAAAGTAAAATTAGAAAATTAAATTGAATTATGACATTAAAATATAATTGAAATAAAAAAAAACATATTTATACTTCGTTTCTTTTGAAGGCGACAATAACATACCGCTCAGTAATGCATGGCTCTTTACGGAAAATATTAGGTCTCGTAAGTATAATATAGCGGGTTTTACCAAGTTAAGGTTATAATGGCTCAGGTGGATAATCGGGCGGTCCCGAAATCTAAAGTCGGGTTTTACCAAAGTTGTAAACAACTTTGCGATACTAGATGTTTGTACATAATATGAGTATCACTGTATTAATAGAGCATTAACTGCGCGTTTCATTACTACATGCATGTTTTGAGAGAGAAATGAAGGGACACATAGTATAGAATATGTCATCGACGTCGATGACAGAACCCAAGCAACACCGCCGGCAAAACGTAGTGATTATATTATTACTCTTTGACTCTTTGGCTGGAATGATAAGTTAAGTAAGCTTATGTTGGTAGAAAATTTTAAATGATTTTAAACCCTAGCCTGCAATATTAAGGGACTATTTCATCTCCTATTTTTGAAGCTACGATTTTTTGTCAGTTTTAATAATTACGTCTGAAAAGTACCGAAAATGTAATAATTTATAAATCATTGCCTTCAGAGTTGGGACGACAAGCGGTTGACTTGGAACGTATCAGACTGGGGCTGTGACAGTGCACCGGTGTCCGCTGAACGCCTTTGGCTTCCTGACGTAGCCCTCGTAAGCGCAGCCACACAAGGAGCTGAGACTGAGGGACAACGTGCCCGAATAGTCGCCAGTGGTCGAGTTTCGTGGACTTCCAGATTGGACCTCTCCGCACCCGTGGCTTTGAAACTCGATGACTGGCCTCGAGATGTGCACACCATCCTGTTTAAGTTCGCCTCCAGAGACCACGATTCAGATCAGATAGATTTGTCCTTGAGGGAAGATGAAGTAAGTAATCTTCCGTCGTTTTATCGTCCATAAGTTTTAAATAGTGAACAAGCCTTTTGGTAATTTTTTTTGTCGACTTTCGCTGCCTGAAAAGACCGGTTGCTTGGTGCTTGCCTGAGTGATTTGTGACTTCATTGTACTGCGATTATCATTCGCCAATCATGGGTGGAGATTCTTCAAATGTTTTTATCATTATGGAAGTAAAGCAGGTTTTACGGATTTCATCACGTTTAGTTTACTTATTTTTAATTCCTGTCGTTTTGTGTGCTGCTAAGCACCGATCGCAGAGTGATGAACTCGGAATAACTTGGAATACGTTGTGACCACTATCACCATTAATCTGTAGTGGGCGTCAATTTGACCGCAATCGTTAAATGCCATTGTTACTGATGATATTTTCCGGATCAATTTTATCCATTCCTAATTATTACAAGTTATTATCCACGAGCACCACAAGTGAATGCGCAATCACAGAGGTACTCACCATTTCTAAACTACTCTCGCTTGATGGAATGGTTTTCTGATAGCAATGAGGCTGATGAGAAGTACAATTAGAAAGCTTATGACCCGATTCTTATATTTAATAAAGTATTGTTCTCCGCTACGATCCATTTTATTATATTATAAAAAGTGCATGTAAAATCTATATTTCTTATTAAAAACGTATCGTTTAGCAAATTAAACTTATAAGACTTAAAAAGAAATAAATTAAGCCGTTGCAAGTTTTTGAAAGAGTATTATTTAGCAAATATTTTATACGTGGTAGAGCCATGCTGCAGCTATATTAATAGTATAGTTGTAGCACGAATGGGTCGGCTCGACCGGGGAAGGACCACGCTCTCACAAAATACCAGCGTAAAATAGCAGCTGCTGTGTTTCGTATGGTGAGTGTAGAGAACCGGAGACCCATTTTACTGGAAAAGAGGCATTCCATCTTAGTCCTCACGGCTGACAACGCATCTGCATTTTAATTCGCAAACGAAGATAGATGTAGATGTCTATGGGCCACTGAAACCACTTACCATCAGGTGGACTGTGTGCTTGTTTGTCACCCTTATTCTATAAAAAAAATGTAAAATGAATTTTCAGGAAAAAGTTTTTTTTTATAAAGAAAGTTTATTAATTTATTCGACTTTCCAAGCGCGTCGATTGCAATTACAGTACTTGGTATAAAATAAAATAATTGGCATAATATCTACAACATTGGTCTTTCGAGCCGGATTTGAACTAGTTATTCATTTTATTATTGGATTCATAAACTTTCACAGATAGTACTTTTGTTGAGGCCGTGACCACGATCGATCAAAGTACACTGTTTACTTCACAGCACGTGACAGTATTCGAGTCGGGCGCTTGGGAGCTGGTGGGCGTGTCGCGGTCTTCAAAGGTGTGGTTACAAGAGGGCAGAGAGCGGCAGTTAGCGACCTGGAAGTTAGCGTTGAGGAGGAGGGCACCAGCGCACTCCGTGGCCACTGGTTTCGTATTGGCTGCCTGCGTTCTGCTGTTGTTAGCCGCGCTACCATTACCACTCAGCGAACGATCTCCGCTCTTTGCGTGTGCTTCCTTCACTGCTGCGCTATGGTAAGTAGAACTACCCTCACGTAAAGTACAGACCAAGAGAGAAAAATTACGCACACATTTGTACCTAAAATCATTTGGCATGGTCTACTTACTACCTGTATGCATACTAAATATCCTCCATTGTTGGTTTGAGTCGTCTAGTATATGAAATGTTTTTTATTATCACTTGGTGGTAAGTGATGATAGAGACCTAGATGGTAAATCGTTTTATCTTAGTATAATAAAAGCCTATTCACTATTGTCTTGAAGGTACTTAGATTTTAATTAGACGTGCGCTAGCACTTCTTACTAGTTTGTGATCAGACTACTCTTTTATTGTACACATTACGGATTACAAAAATAACTGTTTAGCTCGAGTACGTGGAATTATAATAATAATTATGTTCTACAGACCGAATTTCGGTCACGACAGCCAGTCTCAATGGAAACTAATCATCTGTACAGGATAGGATTATAGTGTAAGAGTGTGTTCGCAATCATAGGTATACCTTTATTCTCTCATTCTCCTAATCAGATAGGACGACATTTCGATACGATCGGAGAGAGATCAGGCGCAGGATTAACGGCTTTACGTGCTTTTCATGGCACGGGGTGAAACACTGCCAATTTCCTGCGAATGTTTTGACAGAAAAACTTGTTTTGATCGGTGTTACGGTCACTAGACTAACGGAGAGAGTAGAGTCGATGCGTGGAATATTGACAACAAAGGGCGGTAGTCCGTCGATCATCTCGTTGTACGAAGATGGACAGTTGAGTGAGTAGGGACAACCATCTACCTCCAATAGTTCCACCAAGCTTGTAGTTATACGGTTCGAATCTCCACTTACCATTCCATCCATTATTTTATACCGCAAGTCATCATATAGCACGCACTCCCATAGTACATGGTGCCTATCCTTTTAGGCCTTACATGTACTTGATTTAACCAATTTCATGTCAAACAATCTTTTTCGGACACATATTTTGGAAAAATGGAATGCCTCGTTTCCAGTAAAAAGTTCAGTTCTCTATACTCACTATACCAGACGCGGCAGCATAATGCTGCTATTTTACGCTGGTATTCTGTGAGAGCGTGGTTCTACCCCGATCGAGCCAACCCATTTGGGCTACAACCCTAATATAGTTGCAGTGTGGCTCTACCACGTTAAAAATATTATTAGCCCCTACTAATGTGATTCCCGTGCACACTGCGTGCAGGCTGATGTCGGCGCTGGCGCGGGTGCCCGGCGGCGCTGGGGTGCCGCGCGCGGTGGCGGCGCTGGGCGCGCTGTGCGCGTGCGGCGGCGCGGCGGCGCTGTGCGCGGCGCTGCTGCGGCGCACGGCCGCCGCGCGCGCGCCGCCGCCGCGCCGCCTGCGCGCCTGCCTCTCCGCCGCCGCGCAGCTCTGCGACCTCGCACCGCCTCAGGTCGGTTCGCGCAAATCTTACATTTCATGCAGCCGCAGGCCAGTAAGTGCAGTTCTGCGACCTCATGGACTCTCTACTCTTGAAACATTTGCCAATATCCATCTTGCTGAACAGGCAAGTTGGTAAGCCCAAAGGAAATGCATTTACACTGGCAACACGGCTTCTGGATTTGCGCCAGAGCCTCATCCGTCAGGAAGTAAGATCCAAGAAGTGCAATTAAGGTTGGCACTTAGAGAGAAAGTTATTTTATTTCTCTTATATTACACACACAACTTTGCTAGACTAAAAGTTTACTACAGTAGTAAAAGTTACTAATATTTATATATATATAACCTGCCCTCAAAGTGCTTATCACTTAGCACATAGTTATTCTATATATATATTCTATATCTTTACAACTGTTACCGTTAACCTTTTACAGCCTATCAAAAGTCTATCGTAAACATAAACCTCCCCAATAATTGTACTATAGGGGGAACATTTATGTACCATAGTTCGACGTGTCAACAGCTCCGTGGCGCAGTGGCTCAGCAATGAGTTAGGGAATGTCCCGCGAAAACAAGTATTTGTATGATCTACAAATAATTGTTCGGAGTCTGGATGTTTGTCAATGTGAAAATGTTTATAAACTACGATACAGGAGAAAATCCTAGTATGGGGGTTACATTAAAAATGAATAATAGTGAAAATTAAAAATTAATTTGCTACCCGTGCAAGAGCAAGGTTGGTAACCGCAATATTTTAGTTTTTTTTGTTGTGTTTAGGGAGACGCTGATGCCCTAGTTTATTTCTCTCTGTCGCCACTACACGATTCGGTATCTTAACATTATATACGCGAAACAAATTAGTTTCTGATGAACTATTAACGAAGTAAATAATTTAAAATAAAAAGAGGTTCGTATTAATATTAACATATGAGTGAGAATGCGCCCATCATGCTTATATCATCATTTGCAGGGCACGTCGGGCAGTGAGTGCAGCGCGTGGGCGGCGGCGGCCCAGCTCTTGGACTATGTGCTGCAGGCGGCACTTGTACTCACCGTTTTCGTTATCGTCTGCGTCTATCTGTAGCTACTTCTCACAATCAAAGTATCCAGAAATAGCATTCACGGACTTTTGTGGGTCAGGGTTGGCAAATTTTCGATATTCTAAATATGTAACATTGTACTCTTTGTTATAATTGTTTCTGTTCACAAAAGACAAAGAAAAAAAAACAAGGAATAAAATTTCTATTAAACACATAACTGTAGGAATTACTTACTTAATAACTGGCCCTTCTGAGCCTGAAGTTATAACATATTATAATAATTATCCTTCATAGTAAGTTGATGCGTCACATTGTACAGCCCTTGGGAGATTTTTACGTCAACTTGAGTCAGCTGACAGCTGATAGTTGGTGATGGTATCTCAAAGCACCTAAGCAACCAGACATCTTTTCTTGACAATCACATCACCATCAGAGCACTTGTTTCGCAGACAATTAATCCACAAAATCGCACCACTTTTACATATCAAAATCCACTTCAAACCATTATTTAAACGATAATACAGGTGCAGCAAACCGCCGCCGGTCAAGTTCCCGCCAAAACTCCTCATAACTGTAGGAATAGGGATATTCGATATACATCGATGCATCGAATTCACTCGATGTTTACAATACGATGCATCGAGTCGATCCGATGTTTTGGAAAGCTATTGATATACTCGATGTATCGATGTATTTTCATAAAACATCGAATTAATGATAACCAGTCAATTGTAAACAGGTATACTTATCTATCACTAATAATATTATAACTTCTAAATCAGAAAAACTAAAACATGCTCTGATTTAGAAGTTTAATACCTAAAGCTGTTGGTGGCGCTAGTTGGCGGCTGTCAGTCCCTTAGCGGAATCAAGAAATTGAGATTGGCTGGTTGTGTGTTAAAGAAAATCTAAAGAAAATCGTCTGGTCTGTCTCGGTCTTAAGGCGGCTTCTCACTTTCGTGCCGCAGGGCAATCTAGGACGAACAGCGATCGGGGCAATATCAGAACTGTCTCTACACACATGCCTGCCATTCTATGTGAGAGTGTACGTCTCGCTGGACACACGCGTTGAGAATGGCGCTAGTTTTATCAAAATATAAATGAATCGGTAAATATAGCCTTGGCTCTTTTTGTATAGAATAAGGGTGACAAATGAGCACAGTCCACCTGACGTTAAGTGGATACTGTGGCCCATAGACACCCATATTTATTGATAAAACAACGAATTAATAAATAATTACACCAATAACACAGTCTTTAAAAGCTGCAGTATGACTCTACCACGTTTAAAAACGTTACGACGTTCAGATAACGTTCTTTCTGCGGTGCTACCGTAAAAAAAGAAGACAAAAAGGAGATACTGGGTGAAGAAGCCGCCTCTTTATACACTTCTATCACCAGTATCCAAATTTCATGTTTTATTGGTATCCATTATGACGTGTGCTGCATGCGAAAGTCGCTTACGAACTGTTTGAAATTGCCCCATTTGCGTTACACATGTGGCGTGGTAGCTATGATCTAGGGAGCAAGGAAGGTCTTGCGCCCATGTCGCTCTGCCGCAGGGCCGACTTAGAAAATTGCCCCTGCTTGCATACACACATCACAATTAAGGAGGCAATTAAGGATCATCCCCACTCCTAGATTACACTCTAGATTACACTATTACTCCTACACCCTAGATTGCCCCTGCGGCAGGCAAGTGATAGCCGCCTTAAGACCACTTAACCTCAAACTCATCTCGCATAATTATTCCCCTCTGCCAAGATATTGGATTTAAAAGCTCGTGCGTTTATAAAAACTGTTTACGAAATCGATTTTATTATTACAAGAATCGTTTACCGCCGAAGTAGGTGCTCTTTAAAAAATACCGATCGGTGCGATCATAAAGCAGTCAAAATACTTAAAATTTACAAAAGATGGAGTTATATTCCATATGTAAGTATTTTTATTCCGATGCATGCTTTTTTCTATTAAAATCATTTAAAATAATATCGTAAACATTGTCCTACTACTAAATGGACCTCGGATCTGCACTCAAGTGTCCGAGTCAAAAGAGTTCCAAAATGCAAAAAGAAGTTCCAATTGCGCGCCAGTTTTCGTTTTGTCGATTGATAATACACTCCAAAATTACTGTACCATAAAATGAGCAAAACTATATATATATATATATATAGGTTGATTCGGGACACATTTTTCGTGAATTTTGTTCTAGAGCCGCCGTCTATTTAGTAGTAGGTAACTAATGATCATAAATAATAATTTATTTATTCTTTATTGCATTCCTTAATATAAAATAATACAAAGGGCGAACTGAAAAGGTGTAGCAGAATAGAATAAAAACAAAATAAAAAATAAATAACTAAGATATATATAAATTTTACAAATATAAATATTATATATAATCGACTGGGAGAGAATGCCTTAAGGCATTGAGTCCGCCATATATACGATTTTTCTTTTGTGCATAAAAGTAAAAAAAAAACAATAAATATAAATAACCATGAACATATTCGTCTGTTAATAATAATATTCTTAAGATTAAGATACTTTGTGTTTCGTGCAATAAAGAATATCTATCTAACTGTCTTACATCCTTGAACACTCACATACACACACTCACACACAAACACACACACAACGCGTGCGGACAAAGAGCCGATGTAAGAGTAGATCATTCAAAATTGTCGATTGTTTGAATGGGGATGTCAGGAAGTTGACTACAGATTTATAATGTAAAGTCATAAAAAGTACTCGATGTTGCAAAAACATCGATGTTTCCAACCGATGCATCGAAATATATCGGTGCACAGTCTCGATGCATCACATCGAAAAAAAACATCGATGTATTTTCAAAGTGGACACCCCTATGTAGGAAATAATGAACAAGCCATAGATTATTTTATATAAGAGAGAACAACCTCACAAGCCTAGGTTAATATTTGGTTTAATATGTCTTACGGAAAATATTTGAAATCTGACAGCAGATGTCAAATTACACGGGGACAGTTGCACCGCCTTGGACTCAACCAAAACAGACTATAAAAATAAAATTGCTTTTATGCACAGCCTATAAATAAATCAAATATTTTAATTATGTTTCTTCATATAAATATGATAAAAGGTACACATACCATATTTCCTTGCCACGTGCAATATTTATTTTTAATGTTACGTATCTTCCGAAATTTGTTGACAATCCTTTCTTGGAACCAGCTCAACTTTAACGTTTCAAAGTGTTTTATCAATTACCCATAATTAATGTTTTATATAAGTACTTGTAGTATTATAGTGTAGGCACAGCGTAAGTTTTAAACGATTTAAATTAAAAATTAAGCAGCTAATTTTATCTTTTATTTTTATTTCCATGTCCAAGCCCATTAATTTTAATTATGTTTCAAATCAAAAAGTTATCATTTATGAAACTAATTAATATTAATAGGTTATTATATTTTGTTCTGTTAAATGTTTAACAACCGCTTGGCAAATATGACGTACCTACAGAACATCCTACATTATACATATTATCTTATCCTGTGGGTCAACAAGTCAAAAGTCATTTATGGAAACGTATGCTATAGAGGGCGGTAATATATATATATATATATATATATATATATATATATATATATATATATATATTACCTTCATTCTACCTTTGATTCACAAACGAGGATAAATGTAGATGTCTATGGGCCACAGTAACCACTTACCATCAGGTGGACTGTGTGCTCGTTTGTCACCCTATCCTATAAAAAAAATATAAAGGTACGTAGAGCTCAGTATTAGTAAAATACGAAAGAGTCGAAATTTGTTTTGCATTCAGTCCTAAAGAATTTTTAATCGCCTAAATAATATTTTTTTTAGTTTTTATAATTGTTTTGCGAACAGGCCGCCATCTATCGTCAAGGTTGCTAAACTACATTGCAACATCGATATGAAGCGATGCGAGTAGTTTTACTATTTATCGGTTGATGGAAAATAGTAAAGTGGACGGGGCTTAACATCCCCTCACTCCGAAAATTGTCACGCGTTGTTACATAGCGAAACCTAATTACAACACCTCTTTGTATTTGCTCCGTGGTACATACTCGGGAGCGTCATAGCTTTGTGACCTCCGCTACTGAGATCACTAATGCGCTTGTCTCTATCTTGCGAGGCGATCACAGCAAATTGTATGAATTTCATTACTTATAAGTAAGACTCCCATGTTCTGTTCAGTAGTTGATTGATTACGGGTTAATGAAGGCTTTTTTCATGCTATAAAGGTAACTGTTACTTTTTTCTGCTTTTGTTATGGATTCGCACTGTTGTACTTTTGCCAGTGTCAAGTATTTAAGAAATTATCACATTTAAAACTTTTTCACAACATATTGTTACGTCACATTATTAAGTCTGAGAGATTTCGAGAGCAGCTTGAGCCAGCAGACAGTCGATAACGATAGTATCTCAATGTACTTAAGCAGACACATTATCTTGAGGTTCGCATTACCATCGAAGCACTGTTTGTGCAGTAAAAATTGTTTCATCGCTTTCACGAATAGTTTACAAGCGCAGACATGTAATATACCAAGTCGCACCACTTTTACGTTTTAAAATATGCCTAAAACCATTATGACTTCTTATTTCTTTACACGAATAGGTACTACACATTAAATGAAACTAATTTTACGGATTTTATCTTGTTTAATTTTAACTTTTAAATTCCCGACAGTTTCGGGTTAATTCTTCGTGTGTACTGTGTTACCTAAGTTTACTAAGAACGTGCTTAATAAGTATTAGTGAACTAAAATATGTGGTGGAGTTCAATGCTCCATTTTGAATCGTGGGTGTCGTAAGAGGCAATTATGCGAAATGCCATTACTTCCGATAGGTGGCGGTAAAACTAAACGGATAATATCCAGAGCCAATATCGAAGTTATGTATACGTATTCTGTCAATAATCCGCTTCGTCGTTTATAAAATAATTACATAAGTCTACGGGACAACAAAAACAGAAGTAAAAGGAGGTATGGATGCACAAGGCAATGCAATAGGGGGAAAGCACTGGTGTCACGCATTAGTGAGAAGACCCTGTGGGCAGGGTCTCTAGCGGCTGCTGCAGTGCTGGCAGTAGGTGCACCGCCTGCGATCAGTGGTGACGCGGCGGCTGCAGCAGCAGCTTAAGCGGCTAAATCAGTGGCAGCAGGTACACCTTCCACACTCAGTGGCGGCGCGTGGCGTGCAGCAGCGCTTCAAGCGGCAACAGAAGCACGGCGAGCGTGATGCCGATCAGCAGCGCGTGCAATGCCGGCAACAAATCGTGCAGCCCCACGCTGGCGAAGCCCGCGCCGCCTCCAGCACAGCGCGGAGCCTCCGCCAGCCACATGCGCTGCGCACGCGTTGTCAAACCGGTCTCGCGCTGCCACCGCAGCCTAATTGCGTGGCAATCAAGTACGATACCCTCGACATGGTTCGAAAGTTTAGTCACTACACGTGGTACAGCCATTCTGCAGCTATTTTATGGTTGTAGCACGAATGCGTCACATAACAGCTCAATGTTGTTGTGTTTCGTATGGTGAGTGTAGAAAACCGGAGACCCGTTTTACTGGAAACGAGTATTCCATTCCTTAGTCCTCAGGCGTGACAACGCACCTGTATTTTGATTTGTAATTGAGGGTAGGCAGAGAAATGTAAGTGCCACAGCATTCACTTACGATCAGGTGAACTATGAGCTCGTTTGTCACCATCATTCTATAAAAATCGATTTCACAGCAACAAGCGACGAAGCTTTTAAAGTATTTGATACCACTAAACTACGGGAGTATTACCTCCTGTACACATTAAAATTAAGACCTAATAGTTCTTCACTTCTTAATCCTAGAAAATAGTTTTCTTTATAGTGATAGATATTGGATAACTGATATGATATATAAATAACACGGATGGTTACTATACACCAGGCCTATTATTTATTCTGTGACCTGGCATACGAGATGCGAGTAACATCTATTGTCGGAGATTAAGATAGATTTTTAGTGTTTCCAGTAGTCTAGTTATCTTAGTCCTCATAGATAGTAATTCTTTCATATATTCAGGGATAAGACTTCTTTCTTTAAGGTTGGTTGAAAATTTCCATAGGTTTTAGTCCCCATTTACAAATAAATTTTCTGTCATATAAGTGTTGATTTTTAAAGAATAAGGATGACAAACCAGTCCACCTGGTAGAAAGTGAGAGCTGTGGCCGATAGACATCTACATTTACCTTCGATTAAGAATCAAAATACAGATAAGTTGCTACTCCTGAGGACTAAGAGTGTATAATTATATATAAAGAAAACCATGATCCTTACCGGGAAGCCAACAAATCTCTATAGCCCGAGTGGCGACGTATCGGTACGGCCACCATGGGTAACTTAAACGCCTGGATCTCTTTCAGGCCGCACTTCTCGTGCTCCGTAAAGGTCTTGCTGATAATATCATAGCCTGCACCCTGCTCCACCTGTGAATGTAACTCTAACGTCTTCCTTTTCTTACTTAAAGGAGATGTATGAAATTGGGTGCTTGACATCGTTCGTAACGGTTATACAAAAATATGTAGGTAATTAAACGATAAATTATAAGCATTAATAAAAGGTTTTTATTTCTGCAATACATGAAGAGTACATGGTCAAACATAAAATATTTTTTAAAACTGAAAAAGGAAAGGTAATGATTTTACTATAGCAAAAACGAAACGTTTTTAAATATTTTTCTGTATTTTGTCTATAGTAATAGATGGTGAAGGCTATTTTTATAATGAAATAGCCTTCATTATCAAAGAAATCATAATATTGAAACATTGAGGCGAATCTGTAGAAATTAATATTGAGCAAAAGATATATATTTAGAAATGTTATTAAACTAAAAAAAACATTTGAATATTATCTGACACGACTGAATGGGCTGTATGGTTATTGTTCATTGCCTGTTCCGAAGGAAACTTAACTTTGTATAGTGCCACCAACTTATCTGTTCAGTTGACAGCGTCGCTAGTGGAGCGCTTACTATTGTCATTTAAGAAATTCACCGAGGAAATAGGTGACTACATATTCATTACACATAATACAAAATAAAACAAATTACTTGTTAATATATTAAAATTTGTGAGAATTAGTGTTATTATATATATTATTTATATTTTATAAAAATAATTGTGATCGTGATCTCGGAGTTCAAGCGGCCGAACTCCAGGAATTTGTGTTTTGAAAGATGTACCCGCGCTAGCTACTGGTTTCAATAATTCATCTTCTGAGTCACTAGAGTCGCTTTTGCTATCGCTCTGACACTCTATAATAAAGGGTTCGTCTAAATACGTGAATTTTAGTCTGTATTCATTTTCAATTGTTTTCATATGATTACAAATGTTTTCCCACTACCCCGGTATATTTTTATGGAATGCATCTTCGATTAATTGGGGCATTAGAAAATAAGATTTTCCAACAGTTTTGCAGTACATTGAGATAATATTTTTTTCTATATTTCAAAAGAACATTATTTGGTGATTTTAATTTTCCATATCTGGCAATACAAACCTGTCGCGGTAGCAACGCTTTCATACAACTTTTCAAATGGTATAGTTGGGGCTTGTACACGTTTCACGTCTTTCATAAAAGGTAAAACTTTCAGGATAATCTGTCGCGCATCACTTTTAAGAGCTTTAGGCATTTTATTTGCACTTTTTAAAAACACTCACCATGTCATTTACAAAATGCCAGCCTTAGTTCCAATTTTGTCCACCTGAACAGATAAGTTGGTGGCACTATAGTTGTGTTTGTGGATATATTGCGTGTTTTTATTTTCGTGGATTTAATTTGACCATTGGCTTTTCTCTCGGATTACAGGACAGTAGGTTGTTGCGCCCACATAATGACAATAATGTAGTACTTGGGTAATGAGATAAATATAACAGACAATGTACAGACTCCAGCTATTTTTTCTAGATGACATGTTATAATTAATTATTGCAGAAAATAACGAAACAATAAAAATAGGTTGTTTTATTTAAACTATAAAACTGCATTCTTTTGCGTCGTTTTCAATTTATTCAAACAACTTGTCACAAGAACGAGTAACTTCACTACATAACCTACAAATCATAAAACATAAAATAAAAACAAAGCCCCAGGTCCTGCAAAAGTATGATTTTTTGACATAAGTAGCAAATTTTCAAATCTTCAAAATTCGACATATTTGAACTTTGTTCACGCCGGACCCAAGCTTGTATGGAATGAAGTTCATCTCCTTTCTATTTATTTATGACAACCTATCAAATCACCTGTTGGTAAGTGACTACCGCAGTCAATTGCAATAGCAATTTACTGCGTTTACCGCTAAAAAGAACCCCTTTGTCGTATCTCCTCAGTTTCAAGGCACTCCGCTTCTTGCCTCAGCCAGTATCGGTATCCTCGGAGTCGACATATCGAGTGACGTGCAGTTTCGTGGTCACTTGGAAGAGAAGGCCAAATTGGCCTCTAAAAAGCTTGGCGTGCTCAGCAGAGCGGGACAGTATTTCATGCCGGCACACCGCCTGCAACTTTACAAGGCGCAGGTTCGGCCTCACATGGAATACTGTTCCCATCTCTGGGCAGGTGCTCCCCAGTACCAGCTCCTTCCACTTGACCGCATCCAGCGCAGAGCGGCTCGAATCGTCGACGACCGAGCCCTTTCCGATCGGCTCGATTCAATGGCACTGCGAAGAGATGTTGCATCTCTTTGCATTTTCTTTCGCATCTACCATGGGGAGTGCTCTGAGGAATTGTTCGGATTAATCCCAGCCGCCAAATTTCATGAACGCACATCGCGGCAGAACTCCCGATACCATCCACACCATCTGGATGATTGGCGGTCCACCACAGTGCGATTTAGAAGATGTTTTCTTCCTCGCACGACTTCCTTGTGGAATCGATTACCATCAGCGATTTTTCCGGACCGATGCGACCTATAGGGACCTTCAAGAAAAGAGCCTACTCCTTTTTAAAAGGCCGGCAACGCATCTGCAATTCCCCTGGTGTTGCGGTTGTTCATGGGCGGCGGTAGTCACTTACCATCAGGTGAGCCGCATGCTCGTTTGCACCCTCTCCTATAAAAAAAAATAAAAAAAAACTTCAAGAAAAAGAGGCCACATCTGCAGCTAATTCATCTGTATCGCTTCTAAGGATTAACATTAAATGCCTCACAGTGTGTAATACTGACTCTCTATGCATTTCCAACCGTATCACACAGTTAATTGGCGACCTTCTTTCACATCCGAGACAGTTTTTAGGGCAGCGAGAGTCCGCTACGCTGCGCGGTTGTTTGGATTAAAAACTATCAAATTTACTTTGCCGTCAATTTAATGAAAATCATAAGACAGACAAAACTTACTGTCTGTGTGCCTTTAATTATACTGGCTTAACACTTTAGACTTGAAATCAACAATGGCTGTAATGCTATTTGGTGAGCAAGCTATAGCTATAAAACGTGAAGACGGAGAGAGGACTCCTACATAAAAAGGGAGCTCTGTCAATTATGTCTTTATTTCTTCTTTATCAGCCATTAAGTCTACAATTGGACGTGGGCCTTACCCGTTGCAAGGAGTATGACAAGATCAGATCACGAGACGGTTCAGTTGTAACTTGGGCTACGTTTACTTTATAAAAACAATTAGGGTACCGCGGAAAAAAATTAAAACCCATGAAATTGTGAATAAAATCCGATTCAAATTAGGAAAGTATTAATAATAAATTATTGAAAATTATTCTAATTATTGAAAGAAGTCGCGGGCACAGCTAGTAAAGAATAAGTTAGCGAGGGTACCTGGAAGGCGAAGAGTTCAGTGCGCAGGCGCTCGACGCCTGCGGCCGCGCTGAGGTAGGCGCGCTCGCCGCGCGGCAGCAGCTTGCGCACATACAGCCGCCGCGTCGCCGCCTCGCAGCTCTCCTGCGACACCCCACTCTTGTATAGTACACACAGTCCACGTGCTGCAAGTGGATGCTGTCACCCATACACATCTACATCTATCGTCTAGTATATCTCCTCGGGTATATATGCCTCCGCATTCCTGCTCCGTGGGGGCAAGGGTGAGTAGTTATATTGGACTTACATAACTCCATGATGTTCTATCTTCGCCGCATATTGACAAAGCCACGAAAAAGCTTATGCACACATTACCGGCTCCACCAACGCATGCCGCCCCATGGCAAACTTTCCTCGAGAGAGAACAACTACTCTCCTTTATCCTTCTTAGTTAAGGTGCACCAGAACACAAGGATTGCCTTCCTTCGCAGCCTCTAACTCCACCTGCGCAACGAACCCACCACGGGGTGCAGCAGCACAAACACACTACTTCAGCGATACACATGGCCGTACAGTGGTGTAAAGAGGATGAATAGAATAGAATAATTATCATTTAATAAACGATAAGGCATATTAAGAAATAACTTACTGCAAAATAAACTTTCTTGTACGTGGTCTCTTGTACACCGAGGGTCATCGGAGAGTTTGTGAGGTCGTCGATGGTCTGCAGCGCATTGCTTGGTGACTGTAGGATAGCCACAACCTTCGCAGAGTAAGACGTAAACGCGAACAGGGAGGCCAGCAACGTAAAAAACATCACTAGTCGCAGAGACCACAGACGCGGCGAGAGGTCCGAACCTGCAAACAATTAATGCTCAAACTTTGCTTTTAGCACATGTTATACTTTTTTTTAATGATATGGAAGTGACTAACAAACTTATAGCCCACCTCATACGAACAAAGAATCTCTAAAGAACTTACAGCCAACCAACTTCAAACAAAGAATCTCTAATAAGAATCAAAATGCAGTTGCGTAAGTAAGTAATGGAATGCCTCGTTAACGGTAAAAAGGCTCTCCGCTTCTCGTCTTTCACCAAGCGAGGCAACAGTATTATGTGTTTACTTAACGTTGCAATTCTAAGCTAGCGTCGCACTACCCCGGTTGAACTTACCCAGATTACCCATATTGATATATTACCCTGATATATTATATGTTATGGTCGAGTGATATCTGATATTTTGTCGTCAGGGGTAACATCTATGTTCTTCGTCGTTCGAAATTGATGTCTGTTGTAATGGGCCGCAGTATGTAAATACCATCAGATGGTCAATTGACTCGTCTGTCACTTTAAAATTAAACAAGGGTCGGCGTAAAAAGAGGGTGTATAAACGATTTACTTGCTGCATTTTGGTACTTACTGCTAACTTTGGCTCGAATGCATACGGAATTTTGAACTTTACAATAATTTCATTCGATTGTTATAAATGTATTAAATAATTAAATATTACTTTTTCTAAAAAATTGCACAGAAAAACAATGACATCATGAGTTTCTCTGTAAAGATTTTGCCTCAGGGTTTGCTTTGAAATCAGTCCCCTACCGGCCATTTTTACCCCCGACGGAACGGACGTGTATGATTTTAGTGTGAGAGGTTGTTTGTTTGTGTGTGCAAATGAATGTTCCCATTTATCTCCAAAACTAATTTTCTTATAGGGATAAGGAAATTAGTCTGCCGTGCTCTTTCAGTGAAGATAGAGCTGAGCTCTATCTTCACTGAAAGAGCACGGCTACTACTACTAGGCTATATGGTCTGTGACCTTTATTTCGCAATGTACATCAGCATATTGCGAAGAGTTTTGCGAACAAAATACATCTCAGACTAGGCTGTATGGTCTGTGACTTTTTGCCGCATAGTAACAACAAAGCAGATTTGGGAGTTTTGGCGGGCACTTGACCGCCGGCGGATCGCTGTTTCTATATTATTGTCAAAATAACGGTTTGAAACGGGTATTTATACGTAAGTGGTGCGATTTTGTGTAATAAATGTCTTCGCATATGAATTATTAGTGGAAACGGTGAAACAAACGCTCTGACGGTAATGAAAACCTCAAGGTAGTGTGCCTTGCTTAGGCACCTTAAGATACTATCATTATCAACTGTCTGCTGGCTCAAGATGCCGTGCCGTCAATAACTCTCAAAAACTTTGCAATGTGGTGCTGATGCACATATTGTGAAGAGGTGTACTATAAAGAATAATTTCTTATTATTAAAACATTACAATTGTACAAGTCCATTACCAAAAGAAGAAAGAACACTTGATATTGACAGAATTCGTTACTACGAGCTTGCTATCAACTAAAAGAACAAAGCCGAGCTGTGTACACTGCTGGTGCAGTAAGTTGACGACTAGGCTATATGGGTACGACTTTCCATTGACGTCAGTCGAGTTGGCGGTTGATATTTTTTTTACAGAAAGGTTACATTATTATAAGCACACACGCAAAGTTTCAACATTCGGGTCACGTACTTTTTGAGAAAAAAAATATTGAAAATCAACTATTTTTGCAATATTTATGTCAATTCCTACTGTAAAACTGACGCCATTTTTTATTGTTATTGTCAGTTTGTTATCTGCCCTAATAGGTACTGTTATAATTTAAAATTAAAAATTTTGTACAGCCGACTTCAATATAAGTTATTTAAGAATAACTTAAAAACTATTGGTCTGACCTTGATCAAATTCATATGGGACCACACGAGAAGTACCAGCTTTCAAATAAAAAAAGAATCATCGAAATCGGTTCACCCAGAAAAAAGTTCTGAGGTAACACACATAAAAAAAAAACGAAAAAAAAAAAACATACAGTCGAATTGAGTACCGGCTCCTTTTTGGAAGTCGGCAGAAAATAAAGCAAATTTCAATAAGAGATAATTTATTATGGTATCTTTCTTGTTTTTCATAAAATGGATTTATATTTACATTATAAATGCAAACATGAAAAAAATATAAATATTTTAGAAATCGATTTTTTGGGAATCGATACATCAGCTTACGATTTGAATCGATTTAAAAATCGACCTTTTTCGGAAAGAATCGACATCCCTACTGACGACGACAATGACATTACAAAATGGCGCCAGTTTTACGGTAGGATTAGACATAAACATTGCAAGAATAATTGATTTTCAATATTTTTTTTCTCAAAAATTACGCGTTTCCGCATGTTGAAACTTTGTGTATGTGCTTATAATAGTGTAAATTTTCTGTAAAAAGTATCAACACCCAACTCGACGGACGTCAATGGAAAGCTAAGCCGCTATATGGTCTATAAACTTTGCCTGGCTGAGCTGACAAATCATAACAACGAACAACAAAGTAGAGCTGCGTACCCTGCTGGCACACAGAGCCGATGACGAAGGTGATGCAGTCGAGCGTAGCCAGGTGGTTGGCGGCCGGGTCCTGCAGGCAAGCGGCGCGCGCGGCGGCCGCCAGCAGCGCCAGCAGCGCGCCCGCGGCCGCGAACACGGCCGCCGCCGCCGCCCACACGCCGCGGCTGAACGGCAGCACGAACACGTTCGACACCGCCGACTGCGCCGGCTGCCGGAACAGGAACGCGCCCCTATAGATAAACATGGCCGTTTTAACAATAAGCATACCAATGTGTTTTTAAATGGGGAGGAATTGAGCCCTGTTGTATCTACTGTTTTTCTTGGCATCACTCTTGACGCAAAGCTCCAGTGGGGCCCCCATATATCCAAATTAGCAAGCAGACTAAGTTCTGCAGCCTATGCTGTAAAAAAGATTAGAGGTCTCACTAGTGTCGAGACAGCTAGATTAGTTTATTTTAGTTATTTCCATAGCATAATGTCTTATGGGATTTTGCTATGGGGAAATGCGGCTGATTCAGAAACTATTTTTGTTTTACAGAAGAGGGCCATTAGAGCTATTTACAATCTAAAACCGAGAGAGTCTCTTAAAGATAAATTTAAAGAAATTAATATATTAACTTTGGCCTTTCAGTATATTTACGAAAATTTAATGTATGTTCACAAAAACAAAGGTATTTTTAGTAAAAAAAGTCATATACATTCTGTAAACACTAGGAACAAACACAAGCTAGTGATGCCAGTTTCTCGACTCCACAGAGTCAGTAATTCATTCTTGGGGCAATGTATACGCTATTACAACAAGGTCCCGGAAAGTGTACAGGTTCTCTCTATTACCAAGTTTAAATGTTTTATTAAGCTGAAACTGTATAAAAAGGGTTATTATAGTATAAATGAATACATGGTTGATAATAACCCCTGGGAATGAGGTGGTCACTTCCAAGCAGTTTCTAAAATAAATTTCGTACTTAAATAGTCCGTAATCATTTATATTGTAAAATTTATTTTAAAAAAAAGTCCCGCTAGATTTCTTGCTGGTTCTTCCCAGGACAGAGGGTTTTTTTCGAACCAGTGGTAAAGTAAAAAATGACTTTCAATAAGAATTACACATGTAATGTATATTGAATAAAAAATATTCTATTCTATTCTACGTGGTAGAGCCACACTACAGCTATAATATGACTATAGTTCGAATAGGTCGGCTCAACCCGGGAGGGATAACACGTTAACAGAATACCAGCGTAAAATAGCCGCTTAATGCGGCTATGTTTCGTATGCTGATTGTAGAGAACTGGAGACGTTTTTTTACTGAAAACAAGGAATTCCATCTTAGTCCTCATGGGTGGTATTTTGATACTTAATCGAGCATAAATATAGGTATCTATGGGCCACAGCATCCACTTACCATCAGGTGGACTGTGTGCTCGTTTATCACCCTTATTCTATTTAAAAAAATACAATATAGATTTCAAAATGTTGATTTTTTTATAATATAGTTGACGACCTGAGCTCGACGGTCTCGGAGCAATAGTGGAGCACACGCCAGCGGTCGCCGCGCATGAACATGGAGGTGACGCCCACCTCCAGCTGCCCGCGCTGCAACAACCCCGCCAGCCCGTCGAACGACCCGTTGTGCTCCTCGCCGTACAAGTCCACCTGCTTCAAGTTGTACCTGCACAGTAAACACCAACGTTGAGTAGCAAACTGAAATGAAAGTACAACCTTTAGACAACTCACAGCTGACCACAAACCTACTCTCATTTCTGACTAAATGTTGAATGGAACACAAACCGTAGCAAAATAACACCTCCTACAAAACGTAATTCGCGAGGCAATTGAAATAAAAAAACGTCCTAATCCCAATAGAGAAAATGGCTGAGTGCTGCCATTGTTTGGGATCCCATGATTTATTAAATCCAAACTCATGCGTACCACTGTAAGACTTCAAGATAAAAGGAGAATGCCACATCGTGCCCCACCCTGTACAAAAAAGTTAAAAATATGAAAAATAATCTAATGAATTTTGAAGTTTTTTTCTGATAAATCGTTATTTAGTACAACTTGCGGTAAAATATTTAAAAAAAAGGAATTCAATTATTAATATTTACATTTCCAGTCTTTTCTAATAACATCTGCGTTTCTTTATACAAATAAGTACATACGTACGCATAAAGTATCAAACAATACATAAGTCTTTGTCAGGTGAAAATGTTACTTATTAATTTTTATTTTCAATTATTATTATAAGTCGATAATAATCATGAATAGCATTAGATAATTACTGAATAACAATCATTGATTTTCGTGCATTTTGTGAATCAAATTAATGTCGAATATTTTCAACATTGACTAATTTGTGCTGATTCCCGCTTTCTTTACCGTTGCACTTTTTCCTGCTTCTGATGACGACTTATGCTTTTATTAATATACGGAGTCGATCACGCCTATTTATTGACTTACTGCTAATTACTACGGACATTCTGATAATTGCATCCACGATGTTGAGGTGCACTAATTGTCATATTTGCGTCGATAGGATGCAGGGGCATTTTGTGTCCTCATTTCGATTTACAATCTCAACTCTTCTTTCAACATCTTTGCCACAGATATATTTAGTTTTATAGCTCTTTTATATAGTTGATAATTTATGGTCCTGCCGTTGTCGTAAAATTTGTTACTAATCTGTAAATATTTACACTTTCTTCAGACACATGTCATAATAATATGTACCTTGAAAAATAATTTTGTAAATAATATAACTCGTTTTCATGACTAGGACTTAGATTTTATGAGTCTGCTAGTATTATATTATTGTGTAAGGTCCTTTTAGATCCTATACAAGAGAACCCTTTTTCCAATGTTACTGATCCTTATATAATTATGCTCCTTAAATTCTTATTTATATATATCATTAGCGCCTGACAATTTATATTCTGAAATTACAATGAACTGCCACGAATGCTGTTCTAAGAAATGAGGTAAATGTAATTATTAAAGTCCAGTTTAAAAAAAAATCGGAAGTTCTAGAGACTTCAAATTAAATAATGTGGATGAAGTCATAAAATAGAAAAAAATGCTGCATACGGCAATCGTGTACACCACAGTTTTGGTGGGGCAAAGTTCTATAGAAAATCTGGCATTCTCCTTTAAGTTCTTTTTGCGTAGTTTGGCCCAAAATTTAGTAATTTTAAACTGCAGGTAAACGTGGTTAACTGACATTAGGACGTCAAACACCTCTGTCCCCGTGGTCATATAACACGACTGTAAAAACTGGTTTAGAGTTTTTAGAGTTCAGTTAGAGTGTGAGGCTATGTACCCTGTGTTAAGGCGGACTTCACACGTCCCCGAAATACTTTATTTCTCAGGCATGTGTGGTTCCCTCACAATGTGTACAATATCCAACCTTTACCGTTAAATACGCGAAAAATCTATGCTTAAAATTGTAATTATCAATTTTGGTAGCGATGCTCGTCGCCGGTCTGGTTATATTACGTCTTGAACGAGATGATATACCGCAATGTATCGCAGGCCATAAGATTATACTGCCATTTGCCATAGTCGCTTCTTTCGACTCCCACAAGACGAAATAGGGTGAAGAATTCTCTTAAACAACCACCAACGGTACATGCATGTACGAACATCTTAAAAATGTAACAGAAGTGAATACGTACCGAAAGTGTAGGTCCTCGGCCGCGAGCATGAGTAGTGGGTAAGTGAGCTTAGGGAAGGTGTCGATGGCGCGATTGTTCAGCTCCGACCAGCCCTTGAAGTGCTGCGGCTGACTGATCTGGTTTGATTGCATTGCATAATAATTTAACGTTACTGAAAATTTTCTATTTAACATTTAGCGAATATTAAGTAATGATTTAATAATTTTGAAGAATGTTACACGATACTCCAGTGTTTGATAACCGGTTAACCGAAAACTATATTTTTACCAATATAATATACCCAGATCCAAGATTATAAAGTAATGTTTCAATTGAAGTCTTTAAAATATCATTCCAACAAGCCACATGCAATTATGCCTCGAATGGTTTGGAGTTCACGTGTCGTACGTAACGTAACACGTAACAACACCCACACCCACACACAATCACACATACACACACACACACACACACACACACACACACACACACACACACACACACACACACACACAAAGACGGGCGCGCACACTGGTTCACACATGCACGCACACGCACAAAGAAGGAAAGTTCTGCTATTTCCCTTTGGAGGTAAACTAAAATAAAAACTAGTTCGGGATGGCCACTACTCACTACTGTTGCGGCTTTTAAGTACACATTGTGCAGATCCTTCCTCCTCGCTACCGCTGTCGGCATCCGTCTCCATAACGCTTCCAGTTCTACTTGAGGCATGTGCTTATGTACTCCAAGTTCAGAGACTATGAGAGGCTGTCCTTGCTTCACTCTGTACATGTCCACTGATATATCCGACGATGTCCATACCGCATCCGCGTCTGGGAGGATGTTATAGTCCGCCAAAACTGCCTCTATTTTGGAATTATTTAACGGTGAGTTTTCTATAAATAGCCAGGAGTGACGAAGGTTGAAGGCACGGTTCACTGAAGCCTGAAAAGGTTTGTACTACTAGAGCAAGTAGCGAATCTTTTACAATTTCCTTTAAAATGAAATAACTGTGTAATTTCTTTACATTTCTTTATGCCTGAACTAAGTTAAACTGTGGTAATAGGACTATAATGAGTCTTTATTAAATTAATGAAATTGCCGATTTATTTATTTTTTAGATAGAATAATGGTGACAACCGAGCACGCGGTCCACCTAATGGTAAGTGGTTTCTGTGGTACATAGACATCCACATCTATCCTCAGCTAAGAATTTTATGAACTTGTTTTCGTGTATGTCTGTTCGGATCGAATTTAGTAATTGATTTTAATCTAGCTTCCCTTTAAGATAGAGACTTAAAATTTTGAACATAACTCAGCATCGGATGACAACGTAATAATTTGAAAAAAGACGTGGTATGGGGGCTTACCTCAAGCGCCCTCATGCAATTTTAGCTGCCGGAGCTACGTCGAAATATTTAAAATCATTTTCTAAAAATAGTCGTAAATCACTAATTAATACGAATACTTCGCTACGCCTTTGGATATCCTTCGTGGTTATTTTTTTATAAACCACCCAGAAATAGGAGCTTTGCGGGGCTGCGTCGACTATAGACTTGGCGAAGGGGGGCACCCCCACACCCTATTAAGGCGACTTTTATCAGAAATAATTCAATAAAAATTTTAATCTTTAACATTTAATATAAAAATACGCATCTCCGGCGAGGAGAAAAGGTGGTGGGCGAATCTACTCCTACCCCACCCCTTTCCCCCGCCCTCACCCCCTATTAAGGCAACTTCATTCTAAACCTTTACCCGTGATATATTAAGAAAACATTATTTTTTTTAATTTCACTTGTTTTTACTAAACTCCTTTTCTGTCGGGTATTTAGTCTGGGTAGATACCACTTTCTTGTCGATTTCTGTTTGAGTTGGCTATAAGGTTGTTGTTATCGCTGGACAGCCATCTTCTATCCTGTGGACTCTTAAATCGTTTTTCACTCCGTTACCGTTACAGCCTATTAAAGTCTGCTTCTCAACATAAGCCTCCCACGGGGGGAGGCTATAAAAACAATGGAGATTGCCACATAGTTGCGATATTTGTAATAGTTGCCACGCTTGATAAGCGGGTAGGCTTTTTAATTTTAGTCGTTATTAGGAAAGCGCTGCTGCACATCTACTGATTTGTTTCCCTCTGTCGCCTCGTACGACACCCACAGGATGATAGGGGGTAGTAGAAATTCTTACTCAGCCGATACACGGTTTTCACTCCAATATTACAAAAAGTACCTTTTCAAAGACCAGCTCAGTCTCAGGGCAGTCGGCACCAAGCACGATACCTTCGCGGTGCGTATCGTACGCAGGAAGTTCTGGTATCTGCTTCCAGTCTGACACCACCCTTAGTCGTACACCAATTGACTGGCTTTCACGCCATAACTTCAAAACTTCATCTACGAAATAATTCCAGTCCAAAAATTATACTCGTATTAGTGTAGGTAATAATATCGTTTAAATGCGTTCTTGGTACTATACTGCAAGGAGTTGGACTTCATGGCAAATAAATTTTTGTATTGTTATATTGTGCCGGACGGGCGTAACTCTCCGGAGTAAATGTTGTCGAAGATACTCCGCGAGCCGCTCACGTCCTACACCTATAGGTTCAGGAGGATACTTTCACTACCGCCTTTGTGTATGCTGTTGGAGAACTGTGGACTGAGGTTCAGAATTAAAAATGCACGATTTATAAATTAAATAGCAAGGGAGTGGCCAGCGGTTCGACTGATTAATTAGTTGCGAAATATTATAACTTATTTATTTATTTAACACTGTTGTTTAACTATGGATGTTTACTATATATTTCAAAACACAGATTTAATTAAACACACAGTAATATTAAAATTTCTATTGGTTTTTAAAATTTCTATTCGTATTTTCAAAATATCTGTTGGTAATATCAAATTTCTATTGGCAGTAACAAGTTTCTATTGGTATTTTCTACTATTTCTATTGGTAATTTTGAATATCTATTGGGAGTAACAAATTTCTATTGGTAGTATCCAAAATTTCTATTGGTAGCAGCTGGTTTTCTAACACTACTGACTAGCAGCTATTAATCAACTAAAATTAGTTGAATTTAAACACTTTTGTAACTGCGAATATCAGTTACCACTTTTTCCGACTATGTGTAACTGCGATTTTTCAGTTACGACCTTTTTCGGCTAGCTAAACTTTTTCTATTTCACTTTAACTTTTCACTGTGTTCTGCTACTAGTCACTTCAGCTACTACCGGATACTACTGCTTGTTACTGGTAGTTCTTCCTACTACAATGTTACTGTGATTTGCCCCCATAAGGTAGACTTCGGCTATACTCTATAGAGAGCCGCTTGCCAATTTCCGGTTTTGCCTTTTTATTATCAAACATTTTCATTACGTAATTTGCACAAATCGCAATTTTTCTATATAATGCTAATTTTTACATTAACACGCTATACACTATAAAATAGGCATTTTGGTCCTTTATCATTATGTGATAAGGGTTACTTGATATATTTACATTCAAAAAAGTTATTAATCAAAATGTACCTAATTTACATAACAAAAGTGCACATTAAATCTTTAATTTTACTATATTTATCAAATGCGTTTATTTACACAAATTATCTATTTACTTATTTCAATCTATACACCATATGCTAACTAAATATCATATTTACAATTCTTTCAGAACATAAAAATATTCTCATTATTTTCATATAAACTATTGCGCAGTTAATTATCTTCTAGAAAGTTCCACGATATGATGCGCTGTGATTGGTCGAAATTTTATTTAATGTTTAAAGTCGTTTATATCAACTTATTATTAAAAAGATACTTTATACAAATATATTACGAGTTGTAAACATACTGTAAAACTATATTAACACACAATTTGCTCGATTTATTTACTAATTTCACTTTTTAAAACAATTTAATATTCTTTAATCACTTTTTGCTTAAAGTCTTTAAAACCGTCGCGAACATCTCTCCCGCCGTGCAGCGTCGCGAAGATCTCATCGTAGTGGCGCTGCATCCATTTCGGTGAGCGACGTTGCTTCTACTTCGGCAGCGGCACGAGCTTCTTGGTTGGCCTTTTGATTAGGCCGTTCGCGGTTCGTACCTCCACAGTGCGGATCTGTCCGTCCGCACCGGGGAAACAGCTTCCACCCTGGAGATGGGGCCTCGTCCACGGGCCTCCCGCCGGTTTTGAAGTTCCGGTCTATGTGTTTCTGTAATGGTGAGGCATTTTTCCTCACCGGTGGGTTCGGATAACGTGGGTCTTTCGGTTGGCCATGCTGACGGTTCTTTGTACAGAAATGATGGGCCGCAGTACCACTCATGATTTGAGTCGAAGTTCGGTGGTACGTCCCTCGTGGCGGTGTCAGCTATGTTTAGTTTAGTAGGTACCCAGCGCCAGTCATCTGCTTTACAATTGTCCTCGATTGCTGCTATTCGGTGCGCAACAAAAGGTTTATAAGTTCTGGACCCTTTTTGTATCCATGTGAGGACAGTCTTGCTGTCAGTCCAATATGTGACAGCTTCGGGCTTTACGCGATGCTCCTGGATGACGGCAGCAGCTACGCGACTTCCCATCACGGCGGCTTGTAACTCAAGGCGAGGTATGGATGTTACTTTGAGTGGGGCTACCTTCGCCTTGGCCATGACGAGGCTTACATGTAGCTTCCCATCAGGTGTCATTGCCCTCCAGTAGACTGCCGTTGCGTAGGCGCTTTCACTGGCATCGGTAAACACGTGGACTTGTAGTGAACGTGCGTCGCTGAATCCCGGGTAGCATCTTGGGATGCTCACCCATTTAAGTCGTTCCAGGTGTTGGATCCACGCGGACCACTGTTCAGTTAGGTCTTCGTCCAACTCCTGGTCCCAGTCTGTTCCTCATCTCCATGCTTCCTGCAATATTTGCTTTGCTCGAATTGTAACTGGGGAGGCGAGGCCGAGCGGGTCATACAGCGACATCACTATTTTCAGTGCTTCCCTCTTGGTTGGTTTTTTATGGAGCACATCGATCGGAAGTCGAGCGAGCTTTAGATTGAAGCTCAGCTGATCGGTACTCGGTTTCCAGATTAGTCCAAGTATTTTTTCTTCGTTTTCCTTGTTGCTCAGGTCAACTGACTCAGTTGCCTCGCGGTCAGGTTCCAATTCTCTCACAATTTCGGGCGCGTTGGAAACCCATTTTCTTAAGGTGAAGTGCGCGTTTTTGTGTATATCGCGTACTTCCTTTGATATTCTCATCGCATCTTCTACTGACTGGAAACTGTCAAGATAGTCATCCATATAATGATTTTGGATGATCGCCTCTACGGCTTCTGGGTATTTTTCAACATATTTTTTAGCATTCCAGTTCTTTGCGAATATGGCCGTGCAGGGTGAACTAGCTGCACCAAAATAATCGACGTCATTCTGTATTCTTGGGGTGCCTCATTACGTCGATTCCCTCTCCAGAGATATCTTAAGGCATCTCTGTCTTCGGGTCTAACTTTGACCTGCATAAACATTTCGGCTATGTCCGCCGAGACAGCGACGTTATGGCGACGAAAACGCATCATGACCCCTGGTAGCGACTGCAGTAGGTCCGGACCCGTGAGCAGGAAGTCGTTCAATGCCACCCCCTTTGTTTTGGCTGCGGCATCATGCACTATTCTGAACTTTTCTGGCTTCATCGGGTTGTGAACGTCAAAATGGGGTAGGTACCATGTCCTTCCTGGTGTATTGGTTTTTGGTGCTATCTCGGCGTATCCCTTTTGTACTAGGGAGTTCATATGTTCGTTATATTTCTGTTTTAGATTTTCGTCTCGATCTAATTTTTTCTCGATTGAAACGAGCCTTTTTATGGCTGTTTCATAATTGCCAGGCATTTCGGCATATTTCTTCTTCCAGAGAAGCGCCGTCTCTATGTGCCCGTCTTCCAACTGACGGGTGCTGTTATTTAGTATGTCTTCAGCTTTCTTCTCTGGATCAGAGTCTGGTCTTCTCGGATTGATTACGAGAGACTCCAGCGCGAAATAGTCGCGGAGTTGATCATTTATGGACTCCTCGCTCTTGTGCAGCTCATTGGCCGCGTGGACGCGCTGATACGGGGCTTTAGTGTGTGCCCCGTGTAGCACCCATCCAAATTCTGTGAGCGAGGCGATTGGTTGGTGCGGCGGACCTCTGCGAATTTGAGTGGCTATCAAGAGTCTCCAATTATCTTGTCCTATTAAGATCCTCGGGTTGCCGGAGTCGTATATTAATTGCTCCTTCAGGTCTTTTAAATGTCTACACTTTTCTATATCTACTGCACGCACAGTCTGTGGCCCCAAGTTTAGGCTGGCGACCGTGCGTGCTCTGAATTGCACCCTTTTCCTGTGGAGACTCTTGAGCGAAACTTTGACTCGTCGGGAGTTCGGCGAATCAAGGGTATTGTTCCCGATGGCGGTGATCTTAAAGGGGTCCAACCGCCCTGTTGCTCCAATTTGTTTGGCTATTTCCTCATCCATTAATGAGACTGTTGACCCATCATCCAGCAGGGCGTGTGTATTTACAGCTCCCGCCGGTCCAATTACTCGGACTGGTATTATTTTTAAATAGGCGTGATGTTTTGACACGGCGAATGAATTTGCAACTGTTTCCTGAGGTTTTATTTCTGTGACCTCCGTTTTCTCCTTTTTATAATGGTGGAGAAGTTTATTGTGTGTCGCGGTGCATCCTTTTACTCCACACTTCGTGGTTTTACATTGGTGTGTTTGGTTTTTGTATCGCAAACATCGGAAACATAAATTATATTGTTTTGCGAGTTCCCATCTTTTGTCGGTATCCGCTTCTTTAAATTTGTTACAGTCGGATCCGTAGTGGCCTTCCTTTTGGCACACTCTGCACTTCGGAGACGGCTTAGTGGTAGCCGTGTGTGTCCTATGTACTGGACGATTGCTTTGCGCTCCGTTTATAATTTCAGGAGGCGCAAATGCACTACAGTAGCGAGCTTGTTCGGTGATAAACTCGCTGAAAGAACTGAGGTCTGGCCTAGAGTCGTATTTTTCGGTATAAACTTTATACCACTGTGCCCGTATAGAATTGGGCAATTTGTCTGTGAGGTGTCGTAGCAGCTCTGCGTTGATGAGATAATGGTCTCGTTTGAGTGCCCGTAGAGTGACGACGCTTCCCCTCACCTTGCTTGCGAATGTGCAAATATCTCTAGGCGCTTCTGTACAGCGTGGCAATCCTCGTAACTTTTCGGTTTCAGCTTGTGCAATTGAGTCTGGACGCCCAAATTGTAGCTCCAGTTCTCGCATGATCTCATCTGGCTTAGCATGCCCGATGAGTTGAGAGATGAGAGAACTAACTGTCTCCAAGGCTCTTCCCTGTAGACTTCTTCGTAGTCTTGCCGTATTTTCGATATCGTTGAAGTAGCTTCGGGT